CTCACAGATACGATGAAAGGGCTTATACCTACATTTCATCACCTTTGTATTTTTACACCAATAAGGTAATTCTAACAAATTTGAACTAAATTCATTTTTGCTACTGGTTATTTGTGGCAATGCAGAATGTGAGAGGATTAGATTATATACTCCTATTTTCCACCATTCTTCCTGATAACATTGATATAAATTCGGTTGATCTTCCTCTATCAAATATTTTACGTTTTTTTGTTTAAGGCTTTTGGCTTTGATGACACAATTGGTTGCTGGTTGGACCTGGAGATGGGCACCATTCAGTGGTCGAAAAATGGCATCCTTCAAGGGGAGGCTTATCGTCTTCCAACGAGCTACCTCTCAGATACCACCTTCTATCCAGCTCTTACTTTGATTGATACTACCCTTGATGTCAACTTTGGCAATTGGCCTTTTATTCACTCACCTGGAGTAGGTTAATCTTAAGTAGTATTCTTTGCTTTCCCAGTAAGCATATTTTGAAATGCTTTTTATGCCTCATACTAACTTTGAGCTTGCTTAACTTAAGGAAAAATATTTGGCTTTTTTTAATGGGTGTTATATATAGTGAGCCGTCAAAAACAAAGACGAATTTTACATTAGTCAATTTGTTTATATTGTAGTTATCAGTAAATTGAATATCTAAAACGAATTTACCACTCGAACATGATTATAATTTAACGTGCGAAATGTTTGCGTATAATATTTAAAGGACGAGTGAGGAATAAAAGTAAAAAATAGAAAGGAAAAGCCTAAATTTAATCATGCTATCATCGTAGAGTCTAGTCCAAGTATTGGATTTTTTGTTCGTGGTAAGAGAAAGTAATCCTTTATTCTCAAAGCTCTTTCCACCAGTATCAGTAATAAGGTTGAGCATAGAGTACATACATATACTTATTAACTTGTCCAGGAGTAGCACATATTTTACCTTTAACGATAAGTTTTATGAAAAAACACAAGGACCATAAGATTTTGCTTAGCTCCCATTTTGGTAAATAATTAGGTGGCAAAACTTAAATAACATTTGCCAAATCTCCAAGTCTGCTCAGGCAGTACGCGAAGTTATCGCCTACTCTTCTCTCTTCCAATCCCCTGTTCATCAGGTTTCTTTGAAAGAGGATGTCCACAGACTCCCTGATGTCCCGTTTTCTGGTGTTCTCTCCATATGAGGCCAGTCTTTCTATTGCACTCCATTACATTGTGTGGCCGGTGTTCAGCTCTGTATAGTTGCTGGCGTTCTTTGATCCTTGTGCTGATTGTCTTCACCGTCTTCGATATATTTTTATTTACAGTCCTTGTAGTTTATGCTGTAAACTCCAAAGCATTATACTTTCTTCATTTCTTCATGTTGCGTAAGCAAGCTAGTGAGGATGATTATGTCTCACTAAATCCACTTGTAGCCTCACACTCTTAATCGCCATTAGAGGAAACGAGAGTACAGAATTGTGTGAATAAGTAAGTGGATCATATGAAGGAGATTTGAGAGAAAGAGATGTAGCGCTATAAGGTAGGACAAAAAGATAGGGGCGATGAGTGATATCGCAACGATTGAACAGAGAATTGGTCAAGGGGATCGCTTTCACTCGTCCCTTTGATAAGTCGTAACTCTGGGCTAAGGCTCGCGCCTATCACTCATGATGCCGACTATGAACCCGTCTAAACCTTTGGAAATGTACCAAGTCCGATACTGGAAATCACGAATACCATGGCAGAGGACGCATAACTGGGTACGTTCTACAAGGTCTCCCTGGTACTCCGATAAAGTTGCGAAAACGAGGTCAAACCAATACTAAGTATCTTAGGTTTTTGCCTATTCTCTGTATTCTTTTTGTGTCGACTATGAAGGATAAATTATCTCAATGTTTGTAGTACTTTAAAATCGAAATAAACTAATGGAAAGCATATAAATGTTTATTGAGAATAAGGAAC